TATGTTGATAACATACATCACTGGAAAGTAATAGATATTTTTATGCAAATCTTGTGGTTCCAGTGGATAAAATATGGGTTTCTATAAACCAAAACATATTTAAATTATGAAGGAAATCATTATATAAGATGTACATTAAGTTAGAATAGTAGAAAAATCAACACTATGTTACACTTACTAAGTTTTCTTTTTTTTTTTTTGATATGGCCAAGAGATTCTTTATTGCTGGGTGGGAGAAGGAGAGAGCAGAGACAGCCAAGAGAGAGAAGCAGGAGGGGCAAGGGCTTAAATACCCCTCGGTGGGACTCAGCATGATCTTCTTGGTTAGGATCTTATGGTTCATGCTGATTGGAGGTTGGGGGCAGAAGGAGGATTCAAGCTAGACTTGAGGCAGGACTGTGACCCTGGGAGGCAGGACCGTGACCCTGGAAAACAGAAGCTTAAGGGTGCAGTAAGAACTGAAACCTATTGGTGCCATTATTGCCAACATTCCTCCCTTTTTTGTTTGTTAAGGAAGGGGGGCGTTGTGTTCGCTCTGGCTTCTTCAAGCTGGCAAGGGGCAGTGTAGGGGAAGGGAGGGTTAGTTGGCAAACAATGTTGGGGTGGTGAGCCTCATGATGGTGTACTCCCAGGCTCCAAAAATGAAGATTTCCTCTTCCCTGAAGTTGATGAAGGTCCCTTGTAGCCATAGGTCATAAAGAGTCTCGAGCCAATCCTCCGACCTCTGCATGGTGGGTATCAGCCAACTATCCTGGCATTTTGGAGAGGTTGGTATTCCTGGAGGTGCAACTGATTAAATTTTTGATTAGCAATAGCAGACATGTATTATGATACAAGGGAGGAAGCTTAAGAATAGGAAAGCAAGAAACATAGGTATTAGGATGGGCATTGGCCGGGAGAACCACTGTGAAATGTTGTTCCCTAGACAATTTCAAGAGTCCTCCAATTCCCTTCTCCATTTTCTAATTGTTTCTTGAGAGGTGCCACCATTGGGGAACCCATTGAGCTTGACAGCAGTGGGTGTCATGAGAATGACCAGATGAGGGCTGGTCCATCAAAGTCCCAATGGAGAGGGTAGAAGATCCTTTTGGAGAACAAGATGCCCTGGTTTAACAGAAATTGTTATAGGGTGGGGCAGGATCTGGTTTGCATGCTCTCTCAGAAGTTCCCTGAGAAGGCAGGTAGCCAGCCAGAGGAGCAGAGTCTGTTGGAGGCAAGTTTTTCTAAGAGAAAGGGGTGGCCATACATTATCTAAGACCCAATAGGAATATTAGGAGGAGCATAAAAAGGTGTCTGTTCAGGCACTGCATATCTAGGGATCTAAATTCTGTAAAATCCTATAAGTGCCAGAAAAGCTGTAAGCTGTCTTATGGTATGGGGGTTGGGAAACAGAAGATTGGGTTGATGCATTTATGACTCAGTGAGTGAGTCTGTCCCTTTAAGGCCACACCTAGGTAGGTGACCTGTGGGAGGCAGGGACTGTCAGGATTTAAATGTAACACTCTTGGATAAAAGAGAGCTTTAGCTCATTATTTTATATAAATTGACACTTTTAACCTTTTACTTAAAGCTTGACAAGATCAGCAGAAAACACAAATAATTTCTTTGATAAAATCTTTCTCTGTAATGGTTTTTTGTAGATGTTACTCAGAGCAGAACAATATTAAGATAACCTTGTTATCTGATAGACATAGTGGATTTGATTTTAGTTTGACATGACTCTAAAAAACTTTTAGGCAACTCTTAGATTATATTCAACTTTAACTTTATCACACACTGAAGCTTTTATTATACACTTTTCAAACTTACTCAGACCTTCATACAACATACTAAACCCTTTGATGGTTTGTCCTCATCTTTCCTATTTGAAACAATCTTTAGGATAAACCCTTTTTTGCAAAATCCCTTCTCATCCAAAAAACCATTCCTTTTTCCTTTAACTTCTCAAAAAATACATTTATTACCTATCTATATCCTTTCCAGTTGTTTACTTTGTAACTTGTATTTTAAAATTAACTTTTATAAGAATTTTAAATTTATTGTAGGAGCTGGAGCAACTAATTAGTAGCCCTTGTTGTTTTAAGAATTTATGGGTGGCATAAGGCCTCATTATCCCTTAGGCTTGAGGGGATATTGTTTGGGTGTGGAAACTGTGCGGGATTTTTGAGTTTTATTTGAATAAGGAGGGCTGTCCTGGCTCACCCTACACTCATCTCATCAGTCCACACTGTGGGATCTATTTGTTCCTGAAGGAGGGGGCAGCAGAGATAGCTGCCTGGGGGGAGGAGAATTTGAACTTTAATTGAGATACTAAATCCCATCCCAGCAGGGACGCCAGAGTCTCAGGTACAATGGAGAAAGAGTGACAGAAGAGGAGGTCTCCCCAAGAGCAGGCCAGAGGCCAGGTAAACTAGTGCTCTAGGGTCTAGCCAGATTTGCCCGGAACGATCACTTGTCATTGGACTGAGGACCAGGAGAAAAAGGTAAAACAGAGAAATGGCTTCACTGTCTAGGGGGAAAATGACCTATTGTTTTTCTGCCATTATGGCTCCTCAACATTGACGCCAAGAAGTGGAGTGTGGCCAGGAGGCTTGGACCCATCAATCCATAGGAGGAGGGACCTCATCTTCCATCTGGTGATGGGGGCACTTAGACCTCCAGTGGATACCCTTGCAGAGGGCAGGGTCCTGGTTAGGTGTGGGGCTGTCTCCTGGGCTGTCCCCCTTTAAGCATTCTCTGCAGAAGTGCCCCTCCTGTTCACCATGGTAGGAAGTTCAGGATACAGGCCCCAGTCGGGTGGGGCCCTCTCTGAGAGCAGCATGAGGCCATGGTGTCTCTTATCTTTTTTTCTCCTGTTAGTAAGGTCCTGGACATACAGACATAGCCATAAATACTGACATTGCTAGCTGTATTACTTGGTTCAGTGACTTTTCCCTTCAGCCACAGTCTGAGTTTTTTAACAAATATCTGGGACTGACTGTTAGAAATTTATCTTTGAGGAGAACCTCTCTCACTTGTGACACTAAGTCCACCATGGTATAATTTCTGATAGGTTGTTGCTGTAAAGTAAAATTGTTATTTTAAATTAACACCTGACACTCTGGAGAGCAAGTCTCTGAACTGTTCTGGGCCTCAGTTTCCTTGCTTAAAGAATGAGGGATTTGGTCTAGGTTAAACTACGTTTTCCACTATGAGATGGCTGAAGTGACATTAATGCCACTTATCTTCTTTACCATTTTTTTTTTTTTTAGTAATGTTGGGGAATTGAACTGAGGGCTTTGCACATACAGGGCAGACATTCTCCCATTGAGCTACTTCCTCAGTCCCAAATATTATTATTATTTTTTACTTTGGCTGTACTGGGCCTGAACTCAGGACTTTATGCTTGTAAAGCTGCACTCTACTGCTTGAGTCATATAATCATTTCCAACCTGAGTGGCCTGGGCCAGAACCCATTGCTTTTCTAATGAGAGAAATTTGTATAGGGGACCTCAGTTTACCTTTTTTACTTTTATAGAAAAGGTCTATTATAATTTAAGGAGCCTTGTGAACGTCACTTCTCTTGGTTACCCAAGGCATGCTGAGGCCGACCTCAGTACAAAGCTTCCAACATCTACCAGCCAAAGACTGGAAGATGCAGGTCCCATCTAGAAAGAACAAAATGTTAAGGTCCTGTCTTTTAGCTAACAGCAGGCAGCCTCTTTAATAAAGGCTACCTTTTTAACAGAGAAATAAATCATTTGTAAAGTTAGAGGAGGGCATTCAGAGAGCATTTCAGGCCAATAACAGTGCCATAAAGGACAACTAGCGTTAATATTTGGAGGGCAAAATTTATGCTGAGGCCAAAGGTATAGAAAATTCTAAATGAGAAATTTAGGGACCATAGTAATTTCTATTTAGTTATTTCTGGAATTATAACCTTGAGCTAACAATTGACTTACAAGGGTCTGATGCCCTGAGGTGTGAGGTGGGGCTAGGAGCAAGACTTGTGCAAGGCGACACTCCTTCCACACACACCTGGGACAAATGACTCTGACTGCCTAGGCCTGATCCTGAGGCCTGTTGCCCCTCCCCACTTCCTGTGTACTCTGTGCACATTTATTCTAGGGGAAGTGGCAGTGGGCCACAGCCATCGCCACATGTGGCTAGCAGCCCAGGATTTGCTGGGTCCTCTCTATGGACTCTCTTAGATATGGCAGGCATTTTTGCTGTGTCCAGGAGCCGGCATCCTGTGCACAGGTGCGCCTGTTTGCTTTCCCTCCTCCCCTTGTGGGGACAGAGTTAAAGCATAAGCGTGGCAGCTGCACGCTTTTGCAAGCGCTTTTGTAAAGCAGCTGATTTAAAGTTACTTTAGACTGAGAGGCCTGGCAAATTAGTTGGAATAGCTTAAGTCATAAGGTACCATGCTACAGGTTTTTCATGGGAGGCAGGGTTCCAGTAAGCCCAGGGAGGGGAAGGCAGACAGAGACAAAGGACATGTGGGAGGAGATAGGTATGGTAAGCAGTGCAAGAAGTCTGTTTACATGGGGAAGGAGGAGGTTTGGAGAGGAATTGCCTGATTTAGAAACTGGTTTACAGGCTGATAGAATCTGCGCAGTGGAACAGAAAGTACAGAGGGAGGATTTGAAGTCAGAGATCTGGATTTAGATGGAGGTATGAAAAGGCTTGGACATAATGGAATCTCTCCCCATCGTCCTGATTGCTCATAGTAGTTATATGTCCTGTAAAAGGTTGGGATTTAAAGACCTGAAAAAGGGCCAGTGATTTTGGTTGTCTAAAGGATAAGTGGGCCAGATTTGAGTGCAAAAGTGGATCAAATTTTTGGTTTTATATCTGGGGTCAAACCCAAGATGTCTAAATTATTGAGGAGGCATCTCAATGGGGAGTCAGACGGCAGAGAAGATGTAGAGGCACCCATTGTGTGGGACCTGGTCCTGGAATGCGAGAGGAGGATATTTTGTACTGTGGAGCATCCTCGTGCAGCACAAATATCTGAGAAAATGCAAAGCACACGTGACCCAGCCATCGCTGAGTTCAGGTGGTATGCAGGCCAAAAAGGCCCATGGAGACTATGGGTTACCCGGCACTGGGCTTTTCTTGGAGGGTGGCCTGCGAGGGCCAAGGATGACAAGAATAGACCCAAGCCCGTGGCAGATAGGGAGATCTTTCCCCACAGTCTGAGTCCCAGGGATGATCAGAAAAGGGAAATGTTGAAACCCCAGACACACCAAAGGGAGAGACAGCAATGGGAGCCCATTAGGGGTGTATGGACTCACCAAGAAGATGTCCAGTGTTGGATGCGAGCGAGGGCAATCAGGAGGATGAGTCCTGGCCAGTCACGTCCTCAGAGTGTTTGTGGGGTGAGTTGGATCGGGGTCCCACCAAGATTAGTTGGGAGCCCTGCCCCGAGTCATGGCACCAAATGTAAGGAAATATAGGCCCCAAAATGACCACATGGAGAGGAGTGATCTGGCCAAGAGATTCTTTATTGCTGGGTGGGAGAGGGAGAGAGCAGAGAGAGCCAAGATCCTAAGTATTCTTTACTGTCTGATTTTTAGGGCTTTGTACAGCATAATTTAAAAAACTATAGTAATTCACATGATGTCAAATTTATGTGTATTCCACTTTTTAACAGCACAGATCTGTTGCCCTTACAGTCTCCCTCAAAGAATTTCCTGATTCACAGTGGGGAAAAAGGTTTCTACAATTCTAAAGTATTTTAGGGGACTTGTTTTCTATAGAGGAAGACTCTCACTAAGATTTCAAAAGTATATTGATGTGTCTGCTCTTGAGCCTGTGTGCTTAGACAAAGAAGCTGGTTGACATCTTTCAGGCACAACCCTGAAAGTCTGGTGGTCAAGAAACACAATTTGAGACATATCTTGAGTGCATTTTTAGGAAAGATTAAAGAAATACTCATTGTTGTGTCTCAGATTGTTTTTAACTCCTACATTGTAATTAAAACAGAAAAGTAAAGTGACTATATGATATGAAGTGAGACTATCATTGAAAAATATTTTTACTGTATTTTCCCCATGTATTGGTCATCCATGTTCTGAGATATGCTCTTAGTAAAATTACCAAAATAGACCAAGTCATTATGGCAATATCCCTTAAGAAGTTTCTGCATTTCCTCTAATGGCCAAGGGAAACCTTTGAGACTGTAAGTCGGTCTCTGTACTGTTAGCTCCAAGTGGTTATTTCCAATCTCTTCACCTGCTTCTTGTCACTTTCATGAAGGATTTTAATTAGCCAAGTGTTTTATTAAAGAATCTAGTTCACATATGTGTCATCCTCTTGGAAATTTTAATCTATCAGCATGAAATTAAAAAGGAAATTTGAACTCCTCCTTCCTTGAAGACTGATCTACTGTCTTCCAGTTATGAAAGAGATAGATTGAATAATGAAACTGATGTATAAAAGTAAAACTAACTGTATTGTAGAATCTTATTAATGATGAGATGCTTCTAGTAAAGAAATCCATTCTAAAGGACTTAGATATGTCTTTATCTTTGGGAGAAATGGAAAGATGATATTGGGATGGCTTAAAAACTTAGTATGAGTAATGTTAAAAGGATTCTCCTTGTTATTAGTGTTCTAATGGCAACAGTTATTGAGCATTCCTGAGTCTTTCTGTTCAGTGGACTTATCTTTATTTTCTCTTTCTCTAAAGTATTTTCTTGCCCAACTATTTGCCTCCTTGTTATAACCCCAATGAAAGTTGGTCTGGGACATTTCTTTCACATAAAGATACATGTCACAGTACTACAGCTGTGGGATTTTGAGAACTTGTGACAGAGTGAACTCATCTTGAAATAGGAAAACTAGGCCCAGAGGTTTTGGATGACATGGGAAAGATCATGAAATGAATGTATGGTAAACCCGAGCCCCTGCCTTCCATGTCAATGGGACTTACAAAGACCCACAGTGTTTTTTCTTACAGAAAGGTAAAATAAGTTTAAGAAAAACATAAAGTCTTAGTGGCTGAATTCAATGTTTAATGTAACATAGTAGGCAGGATTTTCTTTTACAACTGTGACTGACTCTTCATTTTGTTATAACATGTGTGTAAAATTCTGGAGAATGCTTTCAATGAGCTTAAACTTAATGTTAGAAGCAATGCACTTCTAAAACTTCTCAAGTAATTTTTGCAGAATAATAAATGAGCTGTGAGGTAGACTATGTTGGCAACAGTAGAAATGCACTATGGAACTTAGGGAAGGAGGGAAAGGAAAAGAGAAAGTCAACAATATCAACACATTTCATACCTGCTTAGGTAGAGGACATAAAAATATGTTCTGAAAGCTGCAAAGTGGTCAGGTAGGGAGAGAAGGGGTAAGGGAGAGTACCAGAGGTGGTTGAACTGATAAAAGTAAAGCATATTCACAGTTGGGGTACATTGAGAAACCCCTTTGAACATCAACTTTAGAATGAATAATGAAAGAAAGGACTGTGAAATAAGTAGAGTGAGGGGCACATTGCTTTAAGTGGGATGGGGGAATGGAGGAGACAATCATCTAACCAGTGTGCAATGTAAGGCTATTCAGAATTGTTACAACAAATCCCCACATACAGTGAATATATGCTAATAATAATGGAAAAATTAAAAATAAATGAACAGTGAAAGGGTTATGGAAAAGGACCCCATACATAAGGATCCTGTTTTATCACTCTTCCCTGAGAAGAGTAGCTCAGAATATGTTAAGTCTTAAATAACTAAGAAATTCCTTTTGTTAAAGAATATCATTCCTGAATTTTTATTTGCTACTATGATAGACAATCTTTGTGCTACATTTGAGAACCCTTGGACCAGTCATATTCCTGGCACTATTCTTATGAAGATATAACTTCAAATTTGTCTTTCTCTATTAATGAAAAGAATTGGTTTTCCATTGGCAAATACTAAGGTCAATTCCATACTGCATACTTTGATTCTAAAAAACATTTCCACCAACCAGTCACATCAGAAAATATCTCACAATAGGATCCTCTGTATTGCAGTGACTAGTATCATTATGTTTGTTACTATGTTAAGCAAAAGGGAACTAAAAAAACTCACAAATTAGTTTACCACTAGATTTCTGTGAATGTTTGGAAAAATTTTGATTTAGTGAGTTTTACAGGACTTTGAAAATAGTAATGTTGTGCTTCAGTGAGGAGAGCTAAAGAATTCAGAAGAGTGAAGACGGAAGTGCAATTCCTAAGATGAATGGAAAAATGTGATTTAAAAAATGTCCAGATCAAATACTGGTATTCCTCCAAGAAATTTCACAAATACAACTTCAATATTTCTTTCTCATACATTTTGCTTGCTTGTTGGCTCTGCCACCTAATCTGTCATATGTTCTCTTGGCTATGCTTCACATCCAGTGCACCTCCATGTGCCACTTCTTCACTGCAAAGATTCTTGAAACCATATTCAATTTTATCTCCTAGAAACACAGTTGAAATATTTCTCTCAGTACTCAACTGTTCAGTCACTGTCTCAGCAGGCAGAAACTTACCCAAACAATGCCTCCATGTGTCTAGACCCTTATCATTATCCTTCACTTTCTTCCAAACTTATCTCTTCTAAAAGTGCTCCATGTGCTACATAATGTAACTCAAGTATAAATATTACCAGAGTTAAAGCCATCACAGTGCTCCCACTTACTCAGAATAAAATCCACTTAGTGACATTTTTCCATCTCCCACAACCTGATAACAAATTTTCTATTACTACCTTTATAACAGTTGTTGTGTATTATGTCTCTATCACTATGTTCTAGAAAATTCATATTTATGACCACACATAATCCTCAAGCAATCCTATGATGCAGTGCTATAGTCATCCATCTTGTCCAGATGAAGCCACAAGATTCAAAGGCTTTATATGAGGTATTCAAGGTCAGCTCTCTACATTGTAGGTAAACTTCGGATTTAAACAGAAGCCTCCTAACACACAGCTCACATCTTAACACTATCAATTGTTGCCTCACAGGCTCACAAACCTTTTCTCACCCTTTTCCTGCTCTCACAGCCCCATGCTCCAGTTGCTATCTGCTGTTAGGTTTAAACAATCAGCTGGGTTTTCTTTCAATCTCCTGTTCTTCCAAGTCACATTGACATCAGAGTGAATTTATTAAACCACTGCTCATAATTCTCTAACACTTCTTAAATATTTTCTTAATAAAACCCAAATCCCACAGAGGAATTACATTTCCAATTTTATCTCCATTAAACTCCATCACACTCTCTCTGATTATTATTTCTTTGCATTCTCCTCACTTCACCTTTAAATACCCCATTCTTTATTCTCTCAATTTTATGTTATTAGTTTTTGGCGATTCTAGGATTTCAACTTAGGGATGCATGCTTGCTGGGAAGTTTCCCCTCTACTGCTTGAGTCATGCCTCCAGTCCCTTTTCTCTGGTTATTTTGGGGATACAGTCTCACGTTTTGTCCAGGCTAGCCTGACCTTGCTCCTCTTAGTGTGTGCTTGCCACTGTATTTGGGATGACAGGTGTGTGCCATCACACCCAGCCTTTTCTCATTGAAATGGGGTTTTACAAATTGTCTCTTTTGTTTGTTTGCTTGTTGCCCAGGTTGGCCTGAAATTATCATCCTTCAGTTCTCAGACTCCCACCTAGCTTGGGGTGACAGGCATATACCATTGCACCCATCTATTGGTTAAGATGGGGTTTCACTAATTTTTTACTGTGAATCTCTTCAAATTGTGATCCTCCTGATCTCAGCATCCCATGAAGCTAGGGTTACAGGTTTGAGCCACATATCCAACTAAAATGTTATTTTTTTAATATTTCAATTTCATTTTTGTTCTTTCTATGTTCAAATTCCATTTCATTTTGATAAGTGTTTTTTTTTCTCCTGAAAACTTTAATTTCACCAAATTATAAGATGTGTGCAACAGATCATTAACTGCATTTGAAATTGAGGGGAAAAGGAGGTAAGTATAGTTGATAGTATCCACTTAATCAAGCAAACCAGGCAGCCTAGACAATAGCATTTTATTATGACTCTTCTTTGAATGAGTGGAGGCCATGAGAAGACCAGGATGACTGAACTATCAGACATAATCAGGGATGTAGTATGCAGTAAAAATGTGAGTTTATATTTTTGAATTAGAAAGTCACTACATGAGTGAATGGAAGGATTAAAAGTGAGGTTTGGATTTAAATATAATAATTCTGACCTCCTTTTCATTGTATTCTCTAAGGTAACTGCAGAGCTATTCAACTGGAATGAATCAACACATGAAACAAATCATTCTGTGGTGACTGAGTTCATTTTTCTTGGACTCTCCAATTCTCAGGAACTTCAGATTTTCCTGTTTCTGTTCTTTTTGGTGTTCTATGTAGGAATTGTGTTTGGAAACCTTCTTATTGTCATAACTGTTGCTTCTGACTCCTACCTTCACTCCCCCTTGTACTTTCTGTTGGCCAACCTCTCACTCATTGATCTGTCTCTGTCCTCAGTCACAGCTCCCAAGATGATTACTGACTTTTTCAGCAAGCACAAATTCATCTCTTTCAAGGGCTGCCTGGCACAGATATTTCTCCTTCACTTCTTTGGTGGGAGTGAGTTGGTGATCCTCACAGCCATGGCCTTTGACAGATATGTAGCAATTTGCAAGCCCCTGCACTACACTACAATTATGTGTGGGAATGTGTGTGTAGGCATTGTGGCTGCTGCATGGGGAATTGGCTTCCTCCACTCAGTGAGCCAGTTCGCGTTTGTACTGAACTTATCCTTTTGTGGTCCCAATGAGATTGACAGCTTTTATTGTGACCTTCCTTGGGTAATTAAATTAGTCTGCACAGACACCTACAGGTCAGATATCATGGTCATTGCTAACAGTGGTGTGCTCACCGTGTGTACTTTTGTTCTTCTAATCATCTCCTACACTGTCATCCTAACGACTATCCAGCATCGTCCTTCAGATAGGTCATCCAAGGCTCTGTCCACTTTAACTGCTCACATCATAGTAGTTCTTTTGTTTTTTGGACCATGCATCTTCATTTATGCCTGGCCATTTCCCATTAAGTCTTTGGATAAATTCCTTGCTGTGTTTGATTCTGTGGTCACTCCTCTCTTGAACCCCATTATATACACACTGAGGAACAAAGACATGAAGACTGCAATGAGACGACTGAGAGATCGAAATGTGAATTCCAGGGTAAAGTGAGATCTGTGAGTGTGAGCTCCATCTTTGACAATGACATAACGTTGGTAAAGTGTCCAGCAAAGCTTATGAAATTGTACCATCCCTTTCCAACTCACTTAGTATTTGTCAAAGAAATCTCACAAGCACCATCTCAATTCATCCTTCAAAACCAGCTGTTTTATATTTTTGACACAGCCCCAAATTTAAAATCATGCATCATCTTACTAGCTGTTGAACAATGAAAGGCATGAATAAGCTAGTATTTGTACACAACTGAGACTTTCTGGTTGGTTTAGGATTTAATAGAAGAAGGATTAGAAACTGGCCTGGCTTGTAAATTTCTATTTTTACTTGGCTTGTTTTCCTGAAAGTATCAACAAAGTAATGGTAACATGCCTACAAATACATGCCAAGTGATAGCACTTGTATGTCAATTATTAAGAGATTTAAAAAGTAAGCTCCTTCCTTGTAACAGGTTATAATCCACTTCCTACCATAGTCTATGAGTGCATTCCTGAGGGCAATAGGAAAACTGTTGTGGTGGCCAAATGAATACTGTCTTGCAGGCACTTGGCATTCTCTGCTACATGACAGCTACTTATAAGAAGTAGTAAAAGAATTATGGGGTTCCAGTCTCTCAACACCTTACCACAAAGTTTATCACTACATCATTCTTAAAGTCTAGCTTTTTAAAATTAAAAAAGCTGGGCTCAACACTACTTTCTGCTACTAATCATGACATTGGGTTCATTACTTATCTTTGGTAAGCTTTGGTTTCCACTCTTTTTAGAGGGAGATAGTATTTATTGCATTTGGTTACTATGAGGGGTGATGAGACCATGTATATACATCAGACAGTTTGTGTCAGATTCAGCACTCAATAAATATCAGACACTATTATAATTACTATGTAAACCCTACACATCAACAAAGCCAAAAATTCTTGACCTTTTCTTCCTAATGGCTTGAGAGGTATGACATAGTCCAGTCTTAGCTGACACTCCCTTGGGGTGTGGTAGTTTTAAGTAGAAGTGTGTATATTTAAGTGCAAGTGTGTATATGCTCACTAACACTGCTATCCAGCAAAGCTAAAAAGTCCAGATAGAAGTGGATGGAAATATAAATTGAAAAACCTTAACAAGTGATTCTAATCACTCTGAAAATTAGCTACTCTACAAATATAGCTTGCTGAAGTATGATGTGAATTAATAGACATGGAGATCCAGATGATAGCAGGGTCAACTTTATGTCTATTCCAAGAATATAAAATTCATAATGATATTAAAAATATATAAGGAAATTAGTATATGGTGATGACAACATCTCAAATCAGTGAGAAAAGAAATGACCAATTAGTGCAATGGGGGAATAACTAGATGTCAATATGGGGAAGGATGTGTTGGATCTTTTCTTCACATACCAGGACAATTTCTAAATGAACTCAATATATGAATCTTCTTTAAAAGTTTAAAAATATTTTTTTAAAAAAAAGATTTGATGTCTTCATGATCTACAACTGTGATAAAAATGGACATTGAATAAATTTAATTTTAATGTGTGATTGCAAACTATCTCCAAGAGTATGAAAATATATAATTTACAACTCATATGAAAAAGAATAGTTTTGATATATAAAGAATATCCCCAAACTCAACAAACTAATAGAAAAGCAGGCACAAGATATAAACTTATAGTTTATAAATAAGAAGATGACAATCTTTAAATACAAGAAAAAGTGTTCAAGCTCTCTTATTTTTAGATATATGCAAAGTAAAATGAAATTTATGTAAGTTCTGTTCTAATATATCAAATATCTAATATCAATGGCTCAAGCCTGTAATCTTAGCTACTTTGGAGGCTGAGATTGGGAGGATCTTGTTTCAAGGACAGCCAGGGCAAATAGTTCACAAGACTCCATCTCAACCAATATCTGGGGACAGTACTACATGTCTGTCATCCAAACTAGAGGTAGGCTGAGATCAGCAGTATCATAGTTGCAGACCAACCTAGAAAAAATGTTTTAGATACCCTAAACCAATGGAAAAAACTTGGTGTGGTGGTGTGATCCCAACTACAGTAGGAAGTAAAATATGAGGATTTCTGTCCAGGCTGGCCTGGGGAAAAAATGAGATCCTGTTCTAAAATAACCAGAGCAAAAAGGGATGGAGGCATGACTCAAGTGATAGAGTACTTTCCTAATGTGCAAGACTGAGATCGAACACAGCACCACCAAAATAAAGGTATCAAACATCTGAAATATCTGAACTCAGTATTTGAAAATACATGTTAATGAGGTGTGAAGAAAGAAGCACTCTTATGCACCATTGCTGAGAATAAAAATGGTCTTTTTAGCAAGAGCTAGAAAGATTAACACACTACTCAATGTTGTGTAGAGTCTCATTTATTGATATAGTATAAAGATGTACTAGCAAAAATGCAAAATAAATAAAAGGCTTAAGTCATTCAAACATTATTTCTAACAGCAAAATCAGAAACACCTAAATAATGATCAGTTAAGAACTGCTGGCATAAATTACAAAAGTGAAGTGTTTAAAAGCTGAAAAACGGATGAGAAGTATCCTTATCTCAACTAGCAAAAACCCTGTTCCTTCCTATTATTGCTTATGCTCTCTTCAACAAAGGTAGAGATAAGGGCAAAATAGTTTTCTGCTGGGTATTGAGGGGGTGGGGGGGAGAGGGTGTGGGGGCAGGGGGGAGAAATGACCCAAGCATTCTATGCACATATGAATAATAATAATAAAAAGAAACCTGACAGCTCAAGGCTGCTGCACTGTTCATGGTAATGAAAAACTGGTGACCGCGGGAGTGCTTTGTTGATGAGCGCACACCTGTCTGTGCACACTAGTTCAGAGGACTGTCCTAGACCTGCAGGTGTCAGGAAGGAAGGGTCTCAGCACACTGGTTATGAGGAACATTGCTACAGTGTGTACCTTGTGATAGGATCCTTCAAGCAAAGAATGGGGCTGCTACGAACGTCTTCCACAGACACCTCAAAAGTCTGGAATGGGGGCAGGGGTACTACGAGGGAATTTGGATGGACTAAAACTGCATTCAATGGTCTGATTTTTTTTTCACACAGAGTCTCACTATGTAACCTAGGCTAGCCTGGAACTCATGATCTTCCTGCCTCTGCCTCCTGAGTGTACTGGGATTACAGGCATGAGTCACTATGCCCGGCCAATATTTTGTCTCAAAGGAGAATGTATTCATGTATTTGTGTAAATAAAAATAAATAAAACTTTAAAAAAAAGCTGAAAATGGATGAGAAGTATCTCCACACACGACTCTGGAACAATCCATGAGATTTTTACTAAGTGAAAATTGTAAACTGACAGAAAGTGTCTCCAATTGCTAATTTTATGTTAAAACAGACATAAATTAGATTTATATGTGTATATAATTTTATATACAGTTAAGTAAGCATTTTAAATAGTAAATAAAATGATGAAGACTCTTCTGGCAAGAGGAAAAAAGTCAGAGGGATAACAACTAGGCTTTTCTGAATATATCTTACTTGTAGTTTTGACTTTAGGATCATACAACTGTTTTACATAATGAAAATTAAATTTAATCGATAGGGATGAATTTAGTCTCTTAAAAACTCAAGTTTAGTTCAAACCAAGTGATTTAATGCTATTTTAATTAGGTAATATGACATCAGAGAAAAGAATCGTTTTATTGGACATGGTCAAAATAATATGGAATATACTCTGAGGACAGAAAACATGCAAAGACCTCTGCTTTCACATTCTTTGGAACTCAACAGCTCCAAACAACTCAGAGACATCAGTTCTTCTCTGGGCCTCCAGCCTCCTGGATTTATACTTGCAAACTCAATGGCTTGAGTGAATCTTTAAAGTACACACATGCACACAAGCACACAGTGCACATGCACACTCACACACATCCTCCTTTCTGAATCTCTGGAGAAGGCTGACTGATGTATTTACTCTATTTTGTCTTCTTTCCATTTCAGCAATTTCTGTTCTTACATGTGAGGGTTATTTCCTTCGGTTTATTTGAATTTCATTTGCTTCTCTCTTTCCTAGCATCTTCTTCGCCCTCTTTTGAAATAAAATTGACAAAATTCAGGTACACATAAAGTTATGACAATATTTTCTTTACTCAGTATTATTTAACGTATATCATTACTTGAGGGAGTTTCATTGTGATATGTCCATATGTGAATAGAACGTGTATTGACCATATTCACTCCTCCTATTACTCTTTCCTATCACATCTCCACCCCGCTTTGTTTTCACGATTTCAATGGGTTTTGTTACTCTATTTTCATACAGGCATGTAATGTACTCCAATCACGCACAGCATCTTTCACCCTTTGCTTTGTCTGCTCTCCTCCCCTACTGTCTCACCAAAGGGTCCCCCATTTATACTCATGGCTTTTCTTTTTTGTTTTAGGTCCAGATTCTGAGTATTAGAGACAACATTCAATATTTGTCTTTCTCAGTCTGTCTTGTTTCCCTTAGCATTATGATCTCCAGTTCCAACCATTTTCCTGAAAACAATATAATTTCTCTGTTTCTAGGGCTGAGTAATACTCCATTGTGTATATATACCACTTTTTCTTTATTCTTTCATTACCTGATGGTCATAGCTTAGTTACAGTGAATAGTGCTGTTATAAATAATGCTGTGTAGGTATCTTTTGTATATTCACTTGCATTCCTTTGGATATATGCCTAGGAGTTGATGAGCAGGGTGATAAGATACTTTGTGTTAGATTTTATGGAATCTGCTTACTTTTTTCATAATGTTGCATTAATTCATGTTCCCAGCTGTGTTTGCTTTTGTTACTTATACATTTAATATCTGTGTTTGTCAGTTTTCTTTTACTCTAAAATAATACCTGAGATAGTGAACTTTATTTATTTAGTTTTATTGATTATTTGTTTCTTTTTTCTTTATTCATTCATTCGTATGTGCATACATTGTTTGGGCCATTTCTCTTCCCTGACATCTCATCCAGGCAGAACCTGTTCT